GACGAGAGTGTGGCAGGGGGGTAATAAACTGCAAAATTTCGCATACTTACCTGCTTGACACGGTGCAATTTACTTTTGTTGTCATATTTTTCAATCAAATTTCTTCATATTTATACACTCACACGCAATCAACTACTAAGAGTCCAACAACTTTCTATCATCCTCTCAATACGGCTTCCGACGAGCTAAATCTACGAATGACAATATCCATGACATTGTGAACTCTATAATTACTTTGTTGGGTGGGAAGAGGAAATGTCTAACTGTATTCCTTGGTCTGGCTAAGGCTTTCGACACAGTCTCGATTGCTTAATTAGTAAGATTTTTTGACTTAATTAGAAAAAATTGGAAAATACGATGCATTCTCCGGAAATTTTTTGAAAGCCACCATATGATTAGAATACAGAGTGTAGAAATTGATTATTGGACTAGAGATGATATTGTTATAACCTTCGGTGCGCCGCAGGGTAGTATTATAGGTGCTATATTGTTCCTGGTATACATTGACAACCTATGTCAGTTTAAACTTACCGTTACCGTTACAGTTTATTAAAGTCCATTGTAGAATATAGGCCTCCCCCATAATATATTGCCTTATAGGGGGATATTTGCCATAGTTGCCACACTTCGCAACCGGGTTGGCAACCGCAGTTTTTTTATTTTAATCATTATTAGGAAGACGCTGCTGCCCATCTCATGATTTTTTCCCTCTGTCGCCTGATATGGGGTAATGGATAATCTTATACCGCCACTACACGGTAAACGGTGGCTTAAATTTAATAATAGAACAATTTTTACTTTCGCCGATGATACCGCTATATTTTTCAGCGGAGTAGTATCCTAGCAGGAAGTATTGAAGTTCAATGTTGTAAATGATGGCTAAACATAATGTCTTTACCCCTAAAGTTATAAAAAAGAAATAAATAACATTCTCCTTACGGTCAGATCAACTGCCACTAGATATTCTGTGCGTATTGGCCCACAACAACTGTGTCTCAAATACTTCTTTATCGATGAAACTCTAACTTTTAAACCGTACACTGACCCTTGTCTCAAGGCTACGCAAACTTATCTATATACTCAAGATACTTAAACATCTAGCTGAGTCTCGGGTGGTCCAGATGATATACTTTTCCCTATGTCAATCTCTTGTGAATTACTCGATAAACGTAGGAAATGTACCGTCTGCTCTGGTCAACTTTTCAGAACCGCTTCGTCAGCCAACTTTTTCTGTTTTCTTAACAGTTATTAATATATTAAATTAAATGCAATTCTTAACTTTCATTTGCTTTTAAAGAGACTGTAAGATATCTGTCAGAAAATATCCCAAAACTTTAGATAAAGCTACCGAGAATCTATTTATGCCCACGGTCTTAGCAAGTTGCGTATAAAAATAAAAAATAAAAATATATATTCATACCTAGGTACCCTTGTCTCTCATCCTATCACATATAATATGTGTGGCTCTACTCACGCACACCCACTCATTCTCTCTCTATCTGTCACACACATACATATACACATACACGCACGCACTCTTGCAACACGCCCGTACACACACGCATAGAAGGTGGATTTTTGCATTATTTGATAGGTATATGGCCGGTTTCACTCGTTCACTGTGACGTAGGCACGGGACCCGAAGCTTGTTGTTGTGCAAAATTTGCTTGACGTGTTGATGTAGTAAAACGATTTCATTATTATACAATAAAAAAACTGCGGTTGCCAACCCGCTCGCCAAGCGTGGCAACTATGGCAAATACCCCCCAAATGAATAAAGTTACTAAGAGACGGCCCCCAGTCCCCGGCGGCCCCGCTGTTCCTGGCTACGGTGGCGACCATGGTAACGGCGGGGCAGGGGGTGCTAAGAATCTCCGGTGGAGGTTCGGTTGCCACCTTAGACGACTCCAACGCTCTCTTGAAGAACTACAGACCGATTTCCCTTCTGAGCCGCGTCTACGTGCTGTTTTCGAGAGTCATTACGAATCGTCTCGCGCGCAGACTTGACGACTTCCAGCCTCCCGAACAAGCCGGTTTCCGAAAGGGCTTTAGCACCATAGACCACATACATACCCTTCGGCAAATTGTACAAAAGTCCGAAGAGTACAATTTGCCACTATGTCTGGCGTATGTGGACTATGAGAAAGCCTTTGATTCCGTCGAAATTTGGGCGGTGCTGTAGTCCCTACAGCGGTGCCAAGTTGACTGTCGGTATATCGAAGTGTTGAAGTGCTTGTACAGTAGGGCTACGATGGCTATCCGAGTACAGAACCAGAGTACGAAACCTATCCAATTGCAGAGAGGTGTAAGACAGGGTGACGTCATATCCCCGAAACTCTTCACCGCTGCATTGGAAGACGTTTTCAAGCTTCTGGACTGGAAAGGATACGGTATCAACATCAATGGCGAGTACATCACTCACCTTCGATTTGCCGACGATGTAGTCCTTATGGCAGAATCGCTGGAGGACCTAAGCACTATGCTCAATGACCTCAATAGTGTTTCCCAACGGATAGGTCTTAAGATGAACATGGACAAAACAAAGATCATGTTTAATGTCCATGTCACACCTATGCCGGTAGTTGTTGGGAACACTAAGCTCGTAGTTGTTGACGAGTATGTTTACCTGGGACAAATAGTCCGACTAGGTAAGTCCAACTTCGACCGAGAGGTCAATCGACGGATTCAACTCGGCTGGGCAGCGTTCGGGAAGCTACGACACATTTTCTCGTCAGACATACCTCAAAACCTTAAAACGAAATTGTACAACCAGTGCGTGTTGCCAGAGATGACTTACGGAACTGAGACGTGGTCCTTCACAGCTGGCCGTATGAGGAAGCTCAAGGTCGCTCAGCGAGCTATGGAGAGGGCTATGCTCGGAGTTTCTCTGAGATTAGTAAGCTGAAGTGGCAGTGGGCCGGCCATATAGCTCGAAGAACCGACAACCGATGGGGAAGAAAGGTTCTCGAGTGGCAGCTTCGTACCGGTAGGCGAAGTGTAGGGCGACCCCCCACGAGATGGAGTGACGACCTGGTAAGGCATGCAGGAAGTCGATGGATGCAGGTGACTCAGGACCGTGCTTTGTGGCATTTCTTGGGAGAGGCCTATGTTCAGCAGTGGACTTATGATGTGTGTAATGATGATGATATGGCCGGTTTCACTCGTTCACTGTGACGTAGGCACGGGACCTGAAGCTTGTTGTAGTGCAAAATTTGCTTGACGTGTTGAGGTAGTAAAACGATTTCATTATTTATTATTATATATTAAATTCCTAGCATTATAGCTTTAAATTACTTGATGTACCTTGTCAAATATTTTCCATCTATGATGTAAGTATGAACATTGTCTTGAGCCACCTGGGTACAGCAGCGACATTCCGATAACTTTAGGGATGTTGTTACTCCACAAATTGTTATACACGAAAACGTACCTCTTTTTTTTCTGTAAGTGTACGCTGTTGGCCCTGCGCCCTTGAGAGCTTCATCGAATTAGGCTCGTAAGCGAGGACCTACGAGCTATTGAGTGCAACGATTTTGCCGGTGGCAGGGCGGTGCGAAGCGCCGCTTCTCCGACTGCAGTCCCGAGGCACCCCGATCCCTGCTTTCGGAGTGAGGCTCCTTGGGGCTCGATACGATTCAAGGGCCCCTCAGAAGGAGGTACGAGCCTCGGCTTGATTCACTATAGCAATTTTTTTTACGGGTCGCATAGATTAGAAACGCCCCGTATCAGGGGTGTTGAACCTCGTGTACGAGGTGTGTCCTACTGTTCTGTACTAGAGTAGTGTCTGAGTATGTGTGTTTTTTTTAATAGTATACGGTGACAAACGAGCACACAGTCCACCTGATATATATATATATCACATCTACATCTACATTTATCCTCGTTTGCGAATCAAAATGCAGATGCGTTATCACCCGTGAGGACTAAGATGGAATGCCTCTTTTCCAGTAAAAAGGGTCTCCGGTTCTCTACACTCACCATACGAAACACAGCAGTGTTAAACTGCTATTTGACGCTGGTATTCTGTAAGAGCGTGGTCTTTCCCCGGTCGAGCCGACCCATTCGTGCTACAACTATACTACTAATATAGGTGCAGCATGGCTCTACTACGTATAAAAAGTGTGTGTGTTAGTGTTAACTAATACGGTTCCCTCTCCTGTGGAGGGGGGGGGGGACGGGATCGACCTATTCTTGGAAGTGATCTCGTCGTCGGGGTCAAGAAAAACGTTCTTGGGACGTCTCCTGTGGGAGGCAGCATAACTCACTGGGGAGTACGAGCCCGCCTCATTTACCAACGGATTTTTGTGCTTTTTTATCGAATCGAAATATCTTAAGGATAATTCCTTAAGATGCAAATGGATGGAGAAAACATACCTAAGTTCGAGCCCCCGCCTTAAATAGACCGACATTCTTTATTTTACCGGGTTACAAATTGGAACACTCCTTTGTTTCTCGTGCCGAATTTTGTGTGTACGTTAGAAAGCATATTATTCGTCATTGACGCCTCAGTAGCCTTGAAGCAAACACAGCCTTCTTGGCTCTTCGGACCATTGACTGATCCATGGTACGATGTACCAGTAACATATGTACTAATTTTCGCATTTTGTTGAAAGTACCTTGTATATTATAATTTGACAATTTAACAAATATTTACAATATATATATAGCGACGTTACGTTCTCAACGACTAAACAAGTTTGACAAAACCTTGTGACAAGACCGAGAATGTTTTTTAAATAAATAAATGGTATTCAATTTTAAAAAACCAAGGATTTTAATATGACAGGAACAGTGGAAATATTCCATTCCCAATACTTTTAGTGCAGCCTATGTATACGTCGGCTAGTTGTTGCAGTGCTGTCCTTTAATTAAGTTTTAACCACATTTGTTTGTCAGTGCACAAGAGTTCAACTGGAGAAAGCTGTTTGTAAAGGCCGGTAGGTAATGAAGTAGAGTGGTGGTTGTGGCTGACACCTTGGTCTTCGCACAGTGTGCGCGCGATGGTGAAAGGTACAATATCGATATTTTGCGCTGTGAGGAGCGCGCGGACTGTCATGACGACATATACGCGAATAATTCTTTTTTGTGCCATATTTGTGTACGGTTAGTTACAGATTTTTTATTATTATATTAAGTAAAAATAAAACATATTTCAGTTGAGCTTGATGAGTCTTCAACGTCGGCTTTTTTGTTTGTTGGACATTCGTAAACTTATGCAACCTGTTCGATGTAGTCACTATTTTGTGATTTTTTCTTTAGCTGATCTACTTGCAATCTAACGTATGTTACGATAACATGAATGCAAGAGTGAAAGCAATTTACTTTTACGCTCATTCATTAGCTGTGACATAATTTCAAGTAGGAAACGGAAAATGTACTAAAATAATTATTTTATTCATGTTTGTTAATTGCCCTTCGAATTTTTTTTTAATCTAAATTAGAAAGTAGGCAGCATGTGATACATGGACCCCAACCATGTACTGATATCTAGTTCCCTAATTAAATTCATTGGGCACGTCCTTTCTTTCACTTGACATTGAGACGTGACCGGTTCCACGCGATGACATTTACTTGCTGGAGTGCCTCAAATTATATAACGCGTTATTTTCCCCAATAGCGTTTCGTTACGAATGTAGCCGAATGTCATACTTCCTTATTACACATTTTTATACACGATTTTGCTTTGTAATCTAGTTAACAATATACAGATTGATCATATATCCAATAGGCAATTGTAGAAACACTTACGGGAATTTTCAATAACCGGTTAGCTATTTGACTTAAAGCACCGAGACAGTGTAAAATAGGGATTATTAATTGCACACAAGCACCTATTTGCAAAATAGTGTTTGAAACTATTAGGTAAATTTTGGTGGTTGATGCAATTCGGTATGTCACCACTATTCACGTCCTATTTTTTTTATAAAACTGAAATGTCAAATCAATTTACAGTCCATAGTAAGTGGTTACTGCAGTCCATGGACACCTGCAGCCAATTTGAGAGAAAGAAAGCTACACAGACTGTAATTAATTTTAATTAAACTGGCTCTCTATACTCTACACAGCAGTATAGGTTCGGCTCTATGGCGGCAAAATAGGTATCTAAGAGGTGTACACCTAGACGAACTTCTGGGCAATATTTGGTGGCTAATTGTAAGTTCAGTTTTTTTAAAAACTGCAGTCGGTTCCGCTTCAGAGTCCGTGATAGAGAATCCTTAAAAGGGTGTTTGTGTGAAAATAACGCGACGAATAATATTTGCTTTTAGTCTTTATATATATATAAAAATATATTAAAATAATTTAGTCTCGAGATATAGGAGATAAAATGCTTACAAACAAAAAAATAAAAAAGCTTAAAAAGGTACGAACGTACCAACATATTACTTATAAAACAGTGAAATCTAAAGACCTTAAAACGCAGATATACATAATATTAAAATTTGAATGATTAGAAATCGGCAATTATAAATATCAATTAATTCATGTTTCATATTGTGTTAGATCACTATTTGCATATTATAATATGAATACAGAAGTAAAATATACAGAAATACATAAAGATGATAATTAAAAAGTCCATTTATATAAAACCAGCCTTTGCCCGTAGCTACACTCGCGTGGTTTTCATAATTTGTTCATGATAAATCCTTCTCTATATTTTATACAGTAGTGTACGCGTGAGACCTCACTTTATGACGTGTCAATTATTTCATTGATAGGATAATTTCAATAAGAGAATTTATCACCACAACTATCACAACTATTGAGTGAACTCTTCGTTTCTAAACTTTATGCAAAAGTAAACGTTGTAATCTAGTCTCACTGCTGGCAGTACCCAAGCCTTTAAGTCAGTAGTTTCGAGGAAATCTAAAAAAAAGAAATACGTGTTGTTAATATTTTTGAATATTTTTAGTACAGAATAAATAATAGTACATTTTTAGCAAGATTAAAGTTTATATATTAAAATCTACTATTTAAATCTACCTAGATATAGATTTTGAAATCCCAAACTTTTTAATAAGATTTTCCTTTAGAAGGTAATAATATTGAAATATTAAAGGAACTAAATCTTGTTTTAAACCAAAATTATTTTATAAAGTTTCTTTAAAGAATGAAGTCAATTTGTTCGTTCGCTTTAACTTGTCAATACGACGATAAATTACATATCGTTTGAACGGTTAGGTACTGGAGTTTGAAGAAAAATAATTTTTAGACGTTTTATTAGTATAAAATAAATTTTACTGTAAACGTTTATTCAATATTTTTTTACAGAATAATTAGAACAGAATTTAAGAACTTACAACATTACAAAAGAACTACGTCGGAGATAATTTGATTATACGTTGCAATCTTCTAAATAATTTGTGTATCTTGTAGAACGTTATATTGCAATAACCGGCCAAATTTGCAGAAATGGTTCAGGATAAGTAATATAAGCAAATGGTGAAGAAAAATTAATTAAAAAAATCGCAAACATTCTGTCCTTTTTGGGGTTACGTACCCAAAGGGTATCCAACGGGACCTTATTACTAAGCCTCCGCTTTCCGTCCGTCCGTCCGTCTGTGCATCCGTCTGTTTGTCATTGTGCTGTATCTTATGATTCCTAATAGGTAGACAGTTGAAATTTTCACAGAATGTGTAGTTCTGTTGCCGCTATAACAACAAATAATAAAAATTAAAATAAATTAAAAATTCAAAGGGGCTCCCATACGAGAAACCTGCATTACGATTGTACGGAATCCTTCATGCGCAGTCGACTCGCACTTCGCCGGTTATTATCTTTTAAATTCAAAATGCGTGGTAATACATTATTTTAACTGATTTTACAAGGGTTACATATTTATAAGGGTTGAACGTTGTTGCCCAATCACATTCAATTTTTAATAGTTTCAAATAAAAGTAGAAGCCTTATTTACTCGTATTTTAAAAAACTGCATTAACGGTATATCATTGGTTATATATTTGAACTTAAATTTCAAAATTTGGCTACTCTTTGAAAAATAACGCCGTAGAACGGTTATATTGTGAAATTTACAATTAATGTAAAGAATGGGCCTCCCTCGAGCGGTAGAGGTCCGTGTACAGCAGTGTATGTTTACGGACTCATCAAAAATATTATAAAGTCCAGTAATAGTCGAAGTGACGTCTTTGTAGCCTTCGTTGAACTGTTAGTTCGTTTGCAACTGTATTTTATAAAAAGAAGAAGAAGAAAGATGCTTACAGAATATTTTTTGAACCGACAAAAACTTTAAACAGCTTTAGATACATAATTTAAGAAAAACCAAATAATTAATTAATTTGTTATTGTTGTAACAGCAATACTTTAATTAAGTAATTCTAATTAATTACATATAAATTGTTATTAATGGACAATCACTTAGGGTGTACAATGTACATACATAGCGTAACGCCTGTTATCCCCCGAGGGGGTAGACAGAGTCCAAAGAGCAGCGGGTTACTCGGACAACGATTAGCCCAAAAATATGGGATTAAATGAAAAATTGTGAAAGAAGTCTCAACACAATTCACGTAGCAAGTTACATGATGCTGTGAGGCTGTATTTAAGGTCTTTACTGCGACGGCACAATGAAGGTCATTGTGGCAGCTTGATTGCCATCAGTTAAGGCGATAACGACAGCCTCTCTTAACATTGGACTTTACATTTAGAAAAGAAACTCTTCTTCTATATGAGCCTGCGAAAGTCAACCTCTGGACAAAGGCTGGCAGAATTTGCCTTTATCGCAGTATCAGACGTTTTACATTATTGATGCTGGTTTCTGCGCCGGTCTCTACTTGTCTATACTTTATACTTTACTTTATACTATTTATTACTGTCGATACTTTAAGTTTTGTTTATAATTATAATGAAATAGTGAATAATCTGTAAATTTCAATTATATCTTCAATGTTTTTCATTTTTAATAAACTAATGTCTTTAGTATTTCATCGAATTATGACATTTTTTAAGACTATATAATTTATTTGTTTTTAGTTAATTGCCAAGTTAGAGAAGGGGAGGAGTTCGTTTGTCCGGAAGGAACACAGGGGAATGGAAATTTTGCAGATCCAGCGACATGCAAGCGTTTCTATCAGGTAATTAATAAAAATGTCTTTCAATACTTTTTGGAGTTGTATCTAAGCCCTTCAATTAAGGTACTAGTTTATGTGGTAGAGCCACGCTGCAGGTATATTATTGTTGTAGCACGAATGGCTCGACTGGGGAAGGACCACCATCTCACAGAAAACCAGCGTAAAATAGCAGCTTAATGTTGTGCTGTGTGGTGAGTGTAGATAACCGAAGACCCTTTTTACTGGAAACGAGGTATTCCACCTTAGTCCTCAACCTCCTAGGGTGACAACGCACCTGCATTTTGATTGTTAATAGAGATTAAATGTAGATGTCTATGAGCCACAGACTCCACTTAGCATCAGGTGGAATCTGTCCACGTTTATCACTCTTATTCTTAAAAAAAACGTAATAATAAATATTGTAAGTTTTAATTTATATACGACTACTATAATTTGTCAGAGTAAATACTCATTTTGCATAATGAGTCAGTATATTACCGCTCGATTTAGTATGAGTTATAGTGAGTATGATAAGTTGTGTCTTTAAAAACCAAGAAGCAGAGGGTTAGGAGGATACCCGGGTGGTGCTTAGTCCACAGTCAGCTTAGTCAACAGTTATTGAAAAAAAAATTAAGATCGGTCTAGTTTCCGGGAGATAACAGCGGAATATGGGATGTTGAATTCGTCAATTTTATTTATAAAGTTACGATTAGTCCGAGCTGCAGTTCTCACTCTCGGTTGTCTGCTCGGTCATTAGAGCACAGCGCGACAGCAATAGTCTGTTAAAAATCTATTCCTAATTACCTACTCTCGTGTAGTAGAGTGCGTACGAAATAAACAGTTCTATAATAAAAACAATAAGCGACCAGCTGCGTGCTTACAGCGGTTGTCCCCCTTTGATTTGCCTGACTTTAGTTGAACCTCGGGTCATCGTGATTAAAAGGTATTTTGTACGCTAGACGTAGTCGTGACAAATGGTGTTGGACTACCTTTGTCGCATATTCATTCAATTGAATACCTGCGGAATACATTAGCCGTAGGCTTTAGGGCCGACAATATCGAGAATTTTCGCCACGACATTTTTATTAACTGCTTTTATATTTGAAGTTATTTAGTTATTTCGGTGTTTTTGTTTAATGTAATTTATCTGGTAAAAGATAATATATATTAACTAATTATTTAGTGTTGCGTACCAAAATTAGCTAAACGGAACTTTTGCCTCTTGCCTTTGCTTACTACAGAAGTTGTTCTGAATTACCACTTCACGTAGATAATTGAAGTTTGGCATAGTCAGAACATATAGTAATCGTGAGGTCTGTACTGGACTGTGGTACGCACTGTGGTCAAGTTATTAATATTTCGATATTCTGACTGAGGAATAACATTTAGGAAAAAAAAATGGAAATGTTCGTGTGAGATCCCAATTAAATGTTCTTTAGAGTACTATGTTCTATTAATGTATTATTTATTCTTAACGTGGTAGAGCCATGGTGTAGCTATACTAGCTGTATGGTTGTAGCACGAATGGGTTAGCTCGACCGGGGAAGGAACACGCTCTCACAAAAAACCAACGTAAAATAGCAGTTTAAAGCTGCTGTGTTTCGTATGGCGTGTGTAGAGAACTGGAGACATTTTTACAGGAAAGCTTAAGACCACATACCATCAAGTGGATGTGTGGTCATTTGTCAACCTTATCCTATTTTACAAAAATAACGCTAAAATTATTGTTTCTCAAACTGTGAAAATAATCGCTTAGAAATGATCTGAAAAAAATAATATTGGTGGTAAATTCTACTAATGCGTTCAATCGTTAGGTATGAATAATATAATAAAAAGGAGGGGGCATGCCACAGATATATTACTTTATGGTGAAGAACAACTGATAATTTAAAATTAAACATTTTGTTTCAACATTTAGAATAACTCAAAAACTATTGGTCAAAAAAAGAATCATCAAAATCGGTTTACCCAGGAAAAAGTTATGACACATAAATAAAACATGCAGTCGAATTGAGTACCGTCTCCTTTTTGAAGTTGGTAGAAAATCTAGAATGTACTGTGTTGTGGAATACAAATTTTATTTCTTTGCCATATAATACAATAAAGGCTATTGTAATGTATGACAATTTGATTATCGTAGTACTTGCTAATGCATATAAAAAAAGCGATCTTTAAAGTGAGACGGAGATTATTTACGTATCCAAAACCATTTAAGCTTTGACGTTTTGGTTACAAGGGTATGGTCAAGTAATGGTAATTTGTTATTTATAGATAAATTATTTGTGAGTAATTTGATTAAATTGTGAACAAGCCGCCTCAACTTGTTTATATTGCATAGAAACACTGAGTTGCATAATCGACAATAGTTAAAATGAGAGAAAGCAGTAATGAGTGTAGGCTTAGGTTTTGTAGAGAGGAAAATTTTCAGAGTATACAGAGAAAGAAGAGCTGCAGATGTAGATGCAACAAACACATGAAGATTGGGATCAGAGAGTATATCGATAAAAGTGATTGGGAAGTGCTCTCCGAAACAACTCAATCGATTTTAATAAAATTTTGTAAATATGTATTGCGTGCTCCCAACTTTAAGACATAGGTCGTCGGTAAGAGCAAAAGAAAATCTGCCTGGTCAGCTAGTAATATTATATATATACATATACATATATATATATATATATATATATATATATATATATAACTGCTGCTGACTAAAATTAATTGATATATTCGCGTAATAATACAGACATTTTAGACGATGTAAAATATTTAAAAACAAATTGATCCAAGGATAAGATAATTTACATGTATTAATTCAAGGAAGCATTTCGGCACATAATTCTTGTTTGGTGTTTTATAAAACTCGTTACAGGCAGCGCGGATCGACCAGATAATTAACATTTTTTGGTCATTATGCACAAATCACTTTCGTATTCGTTTAATATCTACTTAAGACATAACATTTCATAACAGGTGCTGGCACTGATCCTATTCAAGTTTATTTAATCGACTTTAAATATTTTTAAGGGGTTTTACAGAGTTCAAAATATAAGAGGTTCTATATTCGACGTTTCTTGCGATTTCTCAGAAATTGCTAAACCAATTTAAATTATTTTTTAAATAAAAATGTTATTTTTTTTAATTAAATTATACGAAACATGCATCCGTCTAGCAAAAGGTTATTCAAGTTAAGCCTCGCGAAGTTACGCTGCTTCATTACTTCTTACATGCCTTCGAATAATGTTATTGTAGGACATCTTCACAATGTTTTTCTTTACCGTATACTATTTCCTAAATCCAATATACAATTATGTAGTTTACTTTATCGATTTTGAATGCATATTTTGAATTAAATAGTTCTAATTTTAAATTTAACAAAAATATTACTTTTTAAATATATATAAAATGCATCGATAAAAATATAACGAACATTATAGAATTTAAAATTCTTAAAATAGAGATAATCTGCATAGACACTTGTCGACGCTAGGGATAAGTAATTATATTTTATTTTAAATTGATGAATTGTGGAAGTAGTTTACAATACAGTAGAACGCCGATTATCCGAACGCCGATTAACCGAATCGCCAATTATCCGAATCGGTCCTAAGCTTAATATAAAAATTATAACCAAGTACAGTAAGTAACATTACTAAGATTACTTATACAATACTTGGTTAACTGATATTAAAAATAACAGTGAAAAAATTTTAAGATTTGTCACCGCGTTGGAAAGTGGTGATGGATGTTCGTCGCGAAAAGTAATGAAAAAGGCAAAAGATGAACAGCTTGAGAATGCTGTTTTTACGTAGTTTGTGCAGCAACGATCTATTGGACAACCGATTTCAGGATCGATTTTATGTGAAAAGGCGCGAATGTTCAGTGAAATAATGGGTGTAGCTGGTTTTACTCTTTATAAAACTTTATAAAGTGTAAAACAATTTATAAACTTAATAAAGTTTATCCTATGTGTGACAGTTCGTTTTTCTATATTACATACCAGTCTATGTCCGATTATCCAAATTTTCGATTATCCGAATCGACCCCGGTCCCAATTAATTCGGATAATCGGCGTTCTACTGTACCTTATTTTAAATTGATGGATGGTGAAAATTATACATCTGAATGGTTTTTATTTGTTTAAATAATAAAAACACTCTGTTACTCAAAAATATGATAAATTTATTGTCAGTGTTGAGCTGACGGATTGATTAGTAACCACGTGGTAGTGATGATGTAATCAAATGTAACACACGCCTTTTCATCTAGAAGGCATAGAAATCTATATGGGCGTATATACCACTACACTTTTTTTATTTATTAAACTTTAGTGTGATCCTTTTAGGCCAGCCCTATGAAAAATTGATCTTACAAATTCCCGACTAGAAATTTTATTATGTGATTGAACACCTGTGATATTCATATTTATGTCAGAACAATTAAAGCTGCAGCATAAAACACTGCTTGTGTTAAACAGTTATAATTATTATATATAACTAGATATCACTTTCAATATCGTCACAGCCCATAAAAAAGGCCACTGCTGAGCATAGGCCTTCCCATAGATTGCTACAAAGTACGTTCCTGAGCTATATGCATCCACCGACTTCCTTTCGGGTAAGGAAACTCAAGCGATGGAGAGAATAAATGTATCTCTGCGTTTTAACATTTTGAGTGGCGGACTCATACCAGCAGCGAAGTAAAAGACGGCGCCTTTTTTTAGATGGAATGACGACCTAATAAGACACGCAGGAAGTCGATGGATGCAGGTGGCTCAGGTCCGTGCTTTGTGGCATTTGTTGGAGGAGGGAGGCTTATGTTCAGCAGTGGACTTGTAAAGGGTTGTAATGCTGATGATGATGATGACACATACTCGTCATCACTTTCGAACGTAGTGGTCGTCAGACATGATTTATGTCTTGTTCATATAAATCCAAAGACCTACCCGTTGGGAGACCCTACTGGGGTCATTAAGCATATTGCTAAAATTCTGCAAGGATTCTGCCATAACGAGCGTTAATACCGTA